ATGATTACCAATGTTTCCAATTGCGATGATTTTTCCTTTTGCATTGTCTTCAAATGTGACATGACCTCTATCATTCTTTTTGAAATTTGATAGTAAAGTTCTATCTATCTCCGGTAATGTGCTTTGAACACCTGCTATCTAAGAACCATTTGCCCGTCTTCTTCTTTGGTACCTACAATAATAATTCAATTTTTGATTTTTGGTACCCACATAAGCTTAGGTCCTTGATAGTTAGTTTTAGTGGATCCTCGAGTCCACTTGTTTTTAAAGTGCAGCTTATTTTTGTAAGACGATTGTAGACAATATGTTCACCCTTGTTGTAAAAGCTACAAGTAGTTTTTGAGGGAATTGTATTTGAGACTTTGACAAATAAATTTTTGAAAGATTTTTGTTTCAAAAATGGTTTATATCCAATGCTTCCTTTATCAAAAACACATTTTTGATCACCGATCATTAAATCAAAATTCTTCTTTCCTTGAGTGAATTTAAAAATATTTTTTGTCAAATTTTCAACTTTTTCCTTTAAAGAGCAATTTTCTTTGTACAATGAATCATAATCATTTTCTTTTTAGTTTCCAAAATTTTCTCCATTTTACTTTTTAATAATTTATGTTTTTTTTTAAGAATAAAATGATAAAGAGCGAATTTTTCAAATTCTTCTAAAATTTCATTATAAGAGGAAGATAAATCATCATATGCGAATTTTTCAATAGAATTTACCTCATCATCGATTTTCATGAAGCACATGTTGGCGATTTCTTCTTGACTTTTCTTTTCATCGCGATCATCATCATTGCTTTCATCCTAGTTGCTTGGAGTGCTTTTTCTTGAAATTTTTATTTTTGTCTGGACACTCAGCTCTCTTGTGACCGGGTTTATCAATATCATAGCAAACAATTTTTTTGCTTCTTTCTTCGCTATTTTCTTCTTTCTTTTGAAATTTTCAATTATTTCGAAAGTCTCTCCATTTTTTTACAAGAAGTACAAGATCATCAAGTTTTTCATCACTCATATGTTCACTTGTAGTTCCTTCTTCAATTGCCGATTTGAGAGCAATTTGACGCCTATGAGGCTCTTTTGATTCTTCCTTGATCTTCCTTGTCTTTCCTTGATTTTGGCGTTGTTGAGCTTGTATGTCGTCAAAATTCCATAGAGTTCCTCCATAGAATACTTGTTGATATCTTTGGTGTTTTCTTTCAACATTCTCAATGAGTTCCAATCTTTCGAAAGTAACCTAAGCATTTTACTTACAAGCTCACCGTTAGTAAGTTTACGATCAAAGCATTTGAGACCATTAACAATATCAGTGAAGCGAGTAATCATGTCAACAATGTGTTCGTCTTGTTTCATGAAAAAAAATTCAAATTCTTTGACCAAGAGATTAATCTTGGTTTCTTTTAACTTGTTTTGGATATGAGTGATTTCTAAAGCGTACCATATATCATATGCAGAGTCACATGTACTAATATGGTTAAACTCATTTCTATTTAAGGCACCATAAAGTAGGCTTTTGGCTCTAGCATTCAAAAATAATTTTCTTTTATCATTTGCATCATATTCCTCTCTAGGTTTAGGAATAGATTACGAATTTTCTATCAATTTTAATAATTTTGGTGGGCACACAAGGACCATATTCAATGACTTCCCAAATATTATAATCTATTGATTGAATGTAAATCATCATTCTAACTTTCCAATAATTATAATGTTTGTCATCAAAGAAGGAAGATCGATTTGTGGAATACCCCTCGAGATTTTGAAGATTGTTGTAGTTAGCCATTACTCGAGATTGTAAAATCTTTATTTTAAAATGAGCATATTGCTCTGATACCAATTCATAGCTCAAGAATAACTAACCAAGATGGGGGTGAATTGGTTTTAAAACTTTTTCAAATAATTAATCTAAATTCAAGCAAGTAAAGAATAAATAGATTAATTCAAATAATAAGCACAAAAATTAAAGCAATAAATAAAAGGGAGAGATGATGCAAACGATATAATTATGGAAGTTCAATCCAAAGTAATGATCTACGTCCTCCATTACCAAGTTCTTCGACACGAGCAATGCATTTTCACTATGTTGATTGATATTGGTGCAATCCAACCCTTTACAATGCTTCCGATGANCAAGAGTGTAATAGGCTAACACTTTATTAGATAGCAATGAATGCAGCTTAAGTGTTAGGTATGAAAAACCTTGATGGGGAAAATGATTTTCAAGAGTTAATTTGATCAAAAGTTTTTCAAGACTAAAATAATTTGATAATAAATGATATGATCAATTAATGCAATTTTGCTCAAAAGAATCTCACTTGAATGCTCTTGAATGTGTGTATTTGAATGAAAATGAAGTGACATTTATAGCAGTCAAAAAGTCAAAAATTCTATCCAACCGGACGACCCATACCAGACATCCACCACTGTATCGAACGACCGTCACTGTACTGGACAACTGAACTAGCTGTTGAGCGTCAGAAATCAAAACACTTAAAATTTTGACCGTTGGGCCACCGGACGTCCTCCAGAGCAGAAATCTTCGTTTTACTATTTTCTTAATTATTTTTGCAAGTGTACATGCTTAAGGAACATATTCACTTAACTCTTCAAAATGAGTATTATTGGTAAATAATTTAAAAGTCAAGTGGAGATTTTTGTCATATCAAAAATAATTTTCTATGCAAACGTTTTTGTAAAAAGTTTATCTCATGCATAAAAATTTGTTTTACGCGTTTGTAGTGATTCATTGCTAAGAATTAAAACGTTTTACCTTTATATATGGATTCAAATTATCTAAGTCTAGTGTCTTCAATTGATTTGGCACGAGTGCACGATTTGTTGCTCGATTCTGAATTGACACGAGTGCTTGATTTCTCTCAGATTGTTTTGATGCGAGTGCTCGATTTCCCAGTTTGATTGTGAATGCCCGATTTTCATCAGGTTTGTAATATGTAACAATGAAGACTCGAATATAATGTTAGAGATAAGAATGATTTGTTCGTTATAATCAAAACTTGAAATCAATCATAGTCATAGGTCAATAGAGATAATGGGCAAGATAAAAATAACGATCACAAGAATATAAGATTTATATGGAAAGACGGAAAAAATCTCGGGTAGAGGAGGAGAATTCACTAATTCAACAATGGAGGATTATAAAGGATCTTTCTAGACCAAACTAATAAGTTGGACAATTGATCAATCTCAATGTTTTGTACACCACATATTTATAATCAAAGAGTCCCTAATACACTAAGAGAATATAATACAATGAAGAGTCTCATATAAGGTAGAGTATTAATATAACAGGTCTAACAAATAATGGAATATTTGAGTTGGAATAGGAGAGAAAAATGGCAAAAATTGCTAAACGTTCTTCTTATGTGTCTTGAACTCCTTCAAGACCTCTTCAAGTTATACTACCAATTTTCAATAGAACCCCCAATTAAATTTCCATTAGAATTCGAGTCAAACTAAAATTCTAACATAATCTCCTCTCAACCTTTTTCTTGTAAATTGAAGGTTATACTTTGTCCCTTCTAAATCGTTGGAATTTTATTTCGATTGGGTTACACGACATAATGATTTACAAGCATATAATATGGTGAGATATGATTTGATTAAAATTTCTTCACCCATATAAATACTTCCTCACCCCATTTTAACGTCTCATCTATATGTAAACCATCATATAATTCCATACATTACAAGTCAAATATATATCATCTTGCATGATTCGAAGTGTCTTTTCATGACCAAACGTAATCTTTATTAAACACAGAATATTTACACGTGGAAACTTGTGTCATTTATTAATTAGTAGGTAATATATTATTGCAGTAATCTAAACTCTTGTAATTAAACAATTGAATAATTAGAAACGGTTAAGCCGACCGTCTCTAATCAACTACCAAAATAATCCTTTTTAAATCATTTGATTGCGAGTGGCATTATCAGATAAGATTTTTGGGCAACTTTTTTAATAACAACGAATCATGGTATGGCAGACATACTAAGGTTTTGAAATTTCTTTGTTGCTTTACGTATATGCTAAGATGCTTTTACAATATTTCTTACGTATTACATGTTGTTATGTTGTTGTTCCTACTATATTTGATACAACGTAAATGTCGAGAAAATGAAAGAAGAAATGACCTAACACCCAACAAAATACTCTCATTCGGGACAAAATTACTTAAAAGTGACGTCACCAACATAGAGATCGTTTTGATATGCAGAAAGTAGTCCCTCTCAAAAGTCCTTAAATTTCACATCTTCAACCATTATTCTTTGAAGAGTCTTTTGCATAATAGCACCAAGGCCCATACCACCCCTCCATAGTATAAATCCTAGAAATCTTGTCAATACGTTTGATCAATGATAGTTATAAGTAAAAATATTAAAAACTAAAAAAACACTATAGTCTGTTGATTCACTTCAAAACTTTAGAACAGTGCGTGAAATTTTTTATTCTTTTCAATAGATGTCCGGATCAATTAACATCTACTTTGTTTCAAAATCACTAGATCCAAATCAGTGAGATCGTGAATGGTGCTGACAAGACAAAGTAATTAAGAAAACAGACAAAAAAAAAATCTGGTTCAATCAAAGATGGGGAAAACAATCAAATTTCAGCCACTGATTCTTAGGGACGTGTAGAATTTCTGCTTACAATCAAGAACTTGAGGACGAGAATGAGTAAACGATTTTGACTGAGACTCTCAAGAGTATGACGTGGCGATCAATTAGGTGACTGATTGTGTAAGAAAGTTAACAAGTAATACATAGGACAAAATATGGGGAAATTATATACTTTTTGAATACAAAAGGATTACCTAACTTTTCTTTCTAACAAGTTTCTTTCCTCTTGTTCCTCATTTTTTGTTATATGGGCTCTCTGTTCCTCTGTAGTTAAGACAACTATATTGTTTATCTAATTGTATGAATATATTTCCATACAGATACATATATAGATAGAGGGAGAAGGAAAAAAGAGAGAAGGCATGGGGTGTTTCCCTTGCTCGGCAGAACAATCAAGTAAGAAATCAGAGGAAAAGAGAAAAAATAACTGCAACTACAATCAGGGTAGAAGAGATGATCAAGCAAGATCAAATACAGGTATCCAATTTTATATTTTATGAAATTTATTAATTATATGTGAACTTTTGGTGTGTATATATATAAAACATGTTTTTCTTTTTTTTTTTGCTTTATGTTTTATGTTTTTTTGTTTTTTTTTTAAGGTTATTTTGGAAGGTTCTTAATTTTTTTTGTTAGTTTTCTTGATTGTCTCTTTGACTCGTTCATTTTTTTATCTGCATCTGTAGCTGTGGCTTTCTGTTTGGGTATTGTTTTTTATTGATCTTATTGTAGTAGAACGTAATTTTTCTGTGTCTTCGAACTTGTTTCCATGATCTTATACAAAGATATAAAGATTGGTGTCTTTTGTTTGAAATTTTGATATGATCCTATAATATATATATATTCACTTATCTATGTATTTGTGTGTAGATGTGAAGGTTGTTGCTGTCAACGAAGATTTCCGAATTTTGTTTGAAGATTTTAGATAGGCTGACTTTGTTAGTGTGTGTGTTTGTAAGTTCATGTTTCTATAGATTTTAGATACTATTCGTATTCTTCAAGTTCGCAGAAACTAAAACGTATGGGGGAGTGTCAACAAATTCTATGATTGGGGGACTGGAGTTGACTGTGGTTATCTTTACTCCTTTCAATTTGAATCATGTTGGAATCAATTCGCGGTTCACATGTGCTCTTTATGTATTTTTCCCGTTTGTTGTTCAATAGTTTATCACTCTCATATTTTTAATTATCTCCTTATGTGTTGTGCGGTTTAGATGCATTGAAGGCGAGCTCCGATAACGGTGTGAAGGAGACATCCAAAGGCATAAATAAGTCTGCAGTTGAAAAGAAGATGGATGCTAGTAGCAGCCCTTCTCACGATACGGAGATAAATGGTATTAATGCACGGAAATTTTTATTTGCTGAATTGGAGGCTGCAACAAAGAATTTCACAAAAGATTATGTTCTGGGTGAGGGAGGTTTCGGAAAAGTCTACAAAGGTCATATTGACGATGCTAAACAGGTCAATGAAATTCCTTTGATACTATTTAATTTCTGTACTGCTAGTGAAAGTAGTATTTTGTGTCTTTGTTTCTTGTGATTATATTGCCTCATTTGTTGTCGGGTTGTCTTTGAGTGAGATGCTCAATTTACAATTAAGTGGTGGAAGACCTGAAATTTGTTGCTGCTTTTATGCAGATTGTAGCAATCAAGAAACTCGACCTCAATGGACGTCAAGGGATTAGGGAATTTGCAGTCGAAGTATTGACATTAAGTAGAGCCGACCACCCTAATCTTGTTAAATTAATTGGTTACTGTGTTGAAGGAGATCAACGGCTATTAGTCTATGAATACATGCCACTAGGTTCGCTTGAGGACCATTTATATGGTATGTCATGGACAGAAACTTGTTTTCATTTCATGCCTTCTTTCTTTCGCTTCATTGGTTGCTTTCGTTCTTTTCTTATCCTTGTAGTGCATGTTTGGTACACAGAAATGCGTAGGTCTAGACTACATAATAAACAAGACTTAAACTTACCTTTCTTATTATTGTCTAATACTATCCAATCTTCCGTACCAAACATGTCACTATTGTCCTATTTTCCCCTATTTTCGAGAAAAAAGTTGTTGGTTTTACTTGCTATACTTTATATTTGCAGACCCACATCCCAATAAAATATCACTTGATTGGAATATAAGAATGAAAATAGCAGCTGGTACAGCAAAAGGCTTAGAGTATTTGCATGACAAGATTAAACCACCTATTATATATCGTGATCTGAAATGCTCTAACATTTTGCTTGGGAAAGGATATCATCCTAAATTATCTGATTTCGGTTTGGCAAAAGTGGGCCCCTCTGGAGATCGGACACATGTTTCGACCAGAGTAATGGGCACTTACGGTTACTGTGCACCAGAATACGCAATGACGGGAAAACTGACATTCAAATCAGATATATACAGCTTCGGGGTTGTTCTTTTGGAGATAATTACGGGCAGGAAAGCCATTGATAATACACGGAGTGGTGCTGACCAGAATCTGGTTGCATGGGTAAGATATTTTATTATTATCTTCTTCAGATGAAAGAAATTTTTATTTTCGTCTCTTGCCAGTTAATTTGTTTTTCTGTTCAACCGTGGAAAGAAATATCTTGCATTAGAACAGAGAGGGGTCCTTTCCTCTTACAGCTTAAGGCTGTGGAGGCACTTAATGTCTGACTTTAGGCATTTCAAAGAAGCATCTAAAGACCCCATGCAGGGTTGGGAACCTTGAGGGTGGCATCGGGCCAGGAGGGCCCACGTTGGGTGCATATGATAGTTTCTATTTCTGCAGCCTATGCTAATCACGGTACAACACTTCTAGACTGACTAAGCTATTGATCCAATCACTCCAAAAGCCTCACTCCAAAAGCCTCGTATAAATGGAAATGTGAAGAAAAGAAAAGGCAAAAGAGAAATAAGGTCAAGGAATATTGCATAAAGCATTGGATACCCTTCATGTGCATCCCGTCTCATATCAACTGCAGCTGCTGCATCGAGAGAACCATTTTGGTAAACATCGATAGCCAGATGGATTCGCGTAAATTGGAGAAATCCCAGCCTCATGACCAACTTCCTTTAAGTTTCACAAGACAAAATGTGCTTCATAAGTATCAAGACTTTGATGGATGAATTCTTTAATAAGTGATTTGTCTCTATGTTGTCCTGGAAATCGGGGCAGATAATCCCTAATAAACATGTAGCAAGTGACTATTCAGTTGTAATGCAAATGGATTAATCATATAAAGTATCTTGGCTCACTTTGTACACTATGAGGCGTCGCCTCACGACCACCGCATATCTCAAGTCAATGGACCCTGTGGCGAGGTTAGAACTCACAGCAAATGCACTCGAGTTCCTTTCTGGGTGTAGTAATGTGTCTATAGCAAATAATAAGCTTTGGATATGGTATTAGTTGGCTGCCTTACGAACTGATTGTAGAAAGTGGCAGGATGTTCTGATTTTCTCAATAAATTCTCAATTGCTGTATTGACCATTTTGGCATCTACAATGGTGTATATGTTTTGCACGTGAAGTTTTTCCTGATACCTAAATAGCTGAAATAACTGCTTATGCTCTATGACTTTATATTTGTTATGAAGATATGGTAATTTACATGAATGAGGAAATTAACTTTACAGGTTGGAATAAAAATGTCTATGGATTAGCTAGCTCAATGAAACTAGTATATCTTTGATCGTACTCGTTAACTTTAATATTTTATACCAAAATGACGATATTATATTTGGATACGTTGAATGGGGATAAAAAAACTTCCCCTGAAGCATTATTCTACAGGCATGGTTAGCAACCTTTTATTTCATTTTTTAAGTATAGCCAGTTGCCTTCCTAGGTAGTTTTGATTCGTCTTTTTTATCCTAATGATAAAAGTATTATATGTTGGCGCGTTCCAGGGATACTATCATTTTTCTATTTGGTTCTACTTGGATATGGGAGCACAAAGTGTGTGAAAAAATTCTACTTCAGAGGTGTTAATCTTATATTTGCACTCAATATTTTAGCATTTAGTTGTTCCCCCGCAAAACTTTTACTTGGGCAGGCATGGGAGTTGTAATACCCTGCAAACTTCAATTTTTCTAATTGCCTAAGAGATGTTACTTGGTTACCTTATGTTTCTTCACGTGTATGCATTCATTATGTTGCAATAAGGATTTCAAAAATAAAATGTGCCTCTGAAGGCAATTTTCCTTCTTTATTGATGAAACACTCTTCAAGAATGCATGAGGTTGAGCAATCTCTTCTACAAGGCTTATTCATAAAAGTACCCATGATTGTTTGCAGGCTCAACCATTATTCAAGGATAGAAAGAAATTCCACCTAATGGCTGACCCCGCTCTCGATAGTCAATATCCTAAAAGAGGCTTATACCAAGCCCTCGCAATTGCTGCAATGTGTATCCAGGAGAAACCTAAAATGCGGCCTCTCATTTCCGAAGTCGTTACAGCATTGGAATATCTTGCCTCCCGGACATATGATCCTGATGACCGTTCGACCCAGGAACAGCGAAGGAGACGATCTACTCATCAACATAAAAAAGATGATGAACAGATCTCTGGAACCAAGTCAGAGTACTAATTTAAGTGAATCCTAATTTTTCTTGTGGTGTGCCATCAGTTTTTGTGCAACACCTGGTAATGGCTGATGCTTTATATCATTATTACTACAGAAATTTTAAGTTTTTGTTTCTGTTTTTTCCACCCTATACCCACTGCTCTTCGTCCTCTGTTTATGTGAGTTAAGGTAATGTTTCTAATATCTCTTGCTATTAAGAACCCAAAAAAGTTAAGAAAGAAAGGTAGTTGCATTATGCCATAAATGTTTTTGTTTATTTATAGACATCCTAGTATCCAGAAGGAAATGCTTGATTATATGTAACTGAATACTAGAGGGCTAAATACTAGCATTTTCTGATAATGAGAATTTATAAGCAATTTGCTCGACTAACATGATCAGTAAAAGCTGCAGAGCCATGGTTGGTGTTGAGTATTCACACGTTCATACATGTTATGGGTTTTTTAGTTATATGTGCATGGTAGAAATGTTTTTTATGGATTCCTTTTCAGATCACATTACCAAGATTCGAATTGAGCAGTTAATCTTAATTCTTATTATATTTATGTACATAGGAACAAAAGGAAGAAATCTATTTTCATACATTTTTGTTTCCATCTTCCTTAATTAGTATTCCTAGATGAATTAGGAAGCAGCAGGATATGTGAGTTCAACATTACGTCAGTGAGAAAAATTTCTAGTATTCCCAGTATATGAAGTATTCATTACTTCCTGCCACTGTTTGATCGACATGTGCATTGAATAATTGAGACTCACTATTTAATTGGGAACAAGATATACGCAGGTCAATTAAATAGTGCCACGGTACTCAATTTCATACTCTGACAGTACTAGAGATTTTCTGATGTCTCAAGATGCTTTTGAGCCCATACATAGGTTATAACTAGCTAAAACGGTTCACTGTCTCTCATTTACAATGTAAACGAAATCATGATTTAAATCTATTCAGTGACATGATTCATTTCTGAATTTACCTTTGATGTGCTTTCTGTGTTCAGAAAGATGAAAACACTTCTGTGCTGATATCCTTGAATAAGATCCTTGCCGTTGACAGTTTAGCTCTTACGTTGCCCAAGACTCCTCAGGAGGCGACAAAGGAGTGAAAGAGTATCAGATCGACTGTTGCCACTACAATTCGTTAACCTCACCTGCTCTGCCGTTCCCGACCCAGAAGTACATAGCCGAGTTCTTTTTTGAAGGTAAAACTCTACAACAGTCTCTCCTTGGTGACTGCAAACACAGAAATGGATTCAGTCAAATGGAATGAAAACTAGTTATTGGTATTGTATTGTCAAAAAGAAAAGATTCATTTGCAAGTGCTGAATTTACCCTCTTCCAACGGCTGCTATCAGGCCTTTTCAAGAAAACAATGGAATCGAGTTTTTCAGGGGGGTCACTTTTCCACGGGCACACTGATGTGATTCCTTGTGACGCTTGTAAACACCAATTATGTCTCCTCTTTTCATCGTATTTTGTTGTGTTCATAATACAAGAAAGGCTTCTGGCAAGGGTGCTTGCTCACAGACCTCGTATTGAATGCATATGCTGTGTAATCAGCTCTTCGATACCATTTGAGAAATGTTCGTCTTGGCATTTCCAGTTCTCTCGGGGAAATGATTCCTCAAATGATTTGAACCATGAAGCCCCACGAGACAGAGATTGACCAGTACCGTTGCTTATCGTAGCAGATAGATTGCTGAATTATGCTGGAGGAATTCTGCTTGACGGATTCAAACAGGTTTTTGAGGCCTTGAACTCAAGTTTTGCCTGGAAATATTGGATCCACTACATCAAGATGGTGAAGTGACACCAACGGTGTCACTGGGTGAGCTCCCAAGAGGCCTAATAGGTTTCCATACACATCATACTGCATTACAATAGAACAATAATTACTGTACTGGCAAATACTAGGTCTGAGATTCCTTTTAAATAAAGAGAGCACATTCTGTTCAGTTCATGCATTGGCATTGAAGAAATAATGACTATAATCAAAGCAAAATAATTTTACACCTTTGTTCTTGGATTGTCTGAACGTTGATTATAATGACCAGGGGGATCTAAGAGCATGTTTGACTTGGTTTATATGCTAAAAAAGAAGCCAAAAAAGGGCTGTCTGTCGAAACAGACATTGTACATACAACACACATGGTGTGGGGTCCGCACAATTTTTTTTAATACAGGTGGGGCCCGGCCCTTTGTGAGGGGCCTGTAAGGCCCCTGTGAACAAATCTGCTGTACATGAGGATTTGTTCGTCTGATAGTATGACTCTTCGTGCTGTGGAAAAAAAGTAGAAAAGAAGCCTTTTTAAAAAATTTTAAGCCAACCAAACACGACTCAGTATATACTTTAAAAGGGTATGTTCACCATATTTAAGAAGTCTTTTGTCAGTAAACAGCTAAAAGCTGAGCCAATATGACCCAGACTTGAAGGCACCTAAAAAACTAACTCATAAGAAACTTGTAGACAGTATGACCCTTCGTGCCGTGGAAAAAAAAAGTAGAAAAGAAGCATTTTAAAAATTTTAAGCCAACCAAACACGACTCAGTATATACTTTAAATGGGTATGTTCACCATATTTAAGAGGTCTTTTGTCAGTAAATAGCTAAAGGCTGAGCCAATATGGCCCAGACTTGAACGCACCTAAAAAACTAACCAATAAGAAACTTGTCCAAGCAAGTCTTCTAAGCCTTTTCCTTTTGTTACGAATTTTGTAAGGTGGGGTGTGTATTATCCTCATGTCTTCAAATTTTCTAATTTACATTGTAGTTCGAACTTATATACTTGCGTAATCTTGCCAATATATAACTTACGATATTTTCAAATGCTGTTAGAGAAAATATGTTCTTCCTTATCTTAAAAAAATATGTCATTTTTCTATGCACTCAAGACAATATTAGAGAAGAATACGCACTGCTTACTCAAACTTTGCTGTTGGGCTTGAATTTTTTCAGACTTCCTTGATGAAAACCAATTTCTTTGGTAAGTGGGACCCGTAGCTCAGCCATGCAAGCCTGAATCCTATCATCACTGCCATACAATGCAGGATACCTTTGAGTGCAGCCATCCTGAATTTTCTCCAGCTCTTTTGCCAATGGATAACTGATGGCGAATCCCCCTCCACCATAAGCCATTCCATATGAGAAAAATATGTTCTGAATATGACTTTCTGAAAAACTCCCAATATAATAAAACAGTTTATGATCATATTTAGAAAGCACTCTTAGCACATTTTCTACAATGAAAACTGTGTCATCATCCCTCATAACAAACCACCTCACATCTTTCACTCCCAACCTTAAAGTTTCAGAAACAACCCTGGAAATCCTCAATGCTGATCTATTTCCCTGTCTATTCGTGTACTGGAATTTCGACGTGTCCCCAGAAATCTGAATCTCAGGCAAATTACCTTCATCTTTACTAGTATTGACATTTTTGTCTAACCATACTAAAAGAGAATTGGAGGTGGAAAATATATGGCATATATTATTTCAATACTGAAAGGCAGAATATATAGTTTATAGAATCCTAAGAATAGAAGCTGAAGATTACAGAAGATTACAAACTCTAATTATGAAAAATAAGATTACAAGAGATTACACAAAATAAACTAAAGAATATCTCTAACATGCCCCCGCAAGATAGAGCTTCGTGAGGAGATTCCAATCTGGTCTTCAATAGGAGAATGCTAGACACCATTTTGAACTTGTTCACGAATGAAATGATATCCAAGGCTACATGTTTCATGCGGGAATGAAAGACAGGATTAGAGCATAGATTCGTGGCACCAACATTGTCACAATAAATCATCGGTTGTTGAGAAAGTTGGACGCCTAGTTCAGATAGTAAGGAAGTAAGCCAGCATAATTCAGTAGCGGTAGTGGCAACAGAGCGACATTCAGCTTCAGTGGATGAGCGCGCAACAGTTCTCTACTTCTTTGAACTCCAGGAGATGGGATTGCTGCCAAGATAAACAATGTAGGCACTGTTAGACTAAAAATCGATCTAATACATAAGGCGAAAAATAGATCGATAAAACTGAGTGCCCGTAGATCATACCTCCAGCCATTGAAGTCGTTCCAGAAGCTTTCCTTTATTCCAGGTATGGTGCTTCCAAGCTCTCAACACTATAATAGATGGTGTATTCTGTATTTTCGAGTGATTGAGCTTGGGGACCAAACCCTCTATATATATTGCCAAAACTCCCATCAAGTTATGGCAACTGTTACCTTTCAATCAATGGAGACCCATGAATGCTGAGTTGAAACTGAAAACTGAAACCATGAATGTGGAATGTGGTGGACCATTAATGTGGAATGTGGACCATTATCAGTTACATTCTCCCACTTGGTCCATACATTCAACCTAATGTCTCAAGTTAATCTCATTGGTTGGCCTTCTTAAGAAACAAATACACGAATCATGGCGATGAGTCCTCTAATAACGAGTATAATCTTCCATGTATTACAATGTATTTAGCTCCTCAAGAATTATTCTTTATAAGGTAACAACACTTAATGAAAAAGACCCTATGTCTTATTCTTGGTCCGACATAAATATATTTTCTCAAATAACTTAAGGTGCACATGAATATGAGAAAATATTACAATAATAAGAGTTTTCATACAAAATTGTGTATACCATTACATAGTGGAACCAAGTCCCATTTTCTCTACATGATTCTTGAATTTCAGTGGTGGCATGCCTTTAGTCAAAGGATCAGCGATCATTAATTCGGTGCTTATGTGCTCAATGACCACTTTCTTTTCTTTAACACGTTCTCTTATGGCTAAATACTTAATGTTTCGGTGCTTATGTGCTCAATGACCACTTTCTTTTCTTTAACACGTTATCTTATGGCTAAATACTTAATGTCGATATGTTTACTTCGACTACCTCTTTTGTTGTTCTTAGCCATAAAGACAGCAGCCGAATTATCGCAGTAAATTCTCAATGGCCTAGAAATGGAATCCATAACTCTAAGTCCAGATATAAAACTCTTGATCCATACACCATGTGAAGTAGCCTCAAAACATGAAACGAACTCGGCTTCCATAGTAGACGTAGCAGTCAAGGTTTGCTTGGTACTTCTCCATGATACAGCTCCACCAGCCATCATAAAAATATATCCCGACGTTGATTTTCGTGAATCAACACAGCCGGCAAAGTCTGAATCTGAGTATCCAATCACTTCCAGATTATCCGTCCGTTTATACATAAGCATATAATTCTTGGTTCCTTGAAGGTACCTCATTACTTTCTTTGCTGCTTTCCAGTGGTCTATACCTGGATTACTTTGATATCGTCCTAACATTCCTATAGCAAATGCAATGTCAGGCCTTGTGCAGACTTGAGCATACATCAGACTTCCGATAGTGGAAGCATATGGAATGTTCTTCATTTGTTCCCTTTCTAAATCATTTTTCGAGCATTGGTCCAAATTGAACCTATCG